GCATATAAAGCTTCCCTCACAAATTAACACCAAAGTAGCACACAGTTTCAGTATTTGAAGTGCCTACCATTCTCCTTCTAGGTGGCGTTACGAGCGCACACTATTTCCATATGCTCTGTAATGCTGATCATTTGCATGTTCTATTGATATCTGGTGAGGCATGGTGCAAAATTCAAGCAAATTGAATTCTTCCTTATGGTGTTACATTTTGGAAGGTCAGATATATATGTATAGATATCAGTTTAATGAGTCTTTTTGCATTCTTACTATTGCTTTCCATACTAAGGTGACGAACTAGGTGTTGCGTAACTTTTAATACCTTAGTCCTCTGCAGAAAAGGGAATTTTTCTTCTGCATGGGTGTATCATGGTAGCGTCCTAGCTATAAAATACTACAATGAGAAAAAATTATGAAATGTTTATGAAGCGGAATTCCCAGAATGAAAGATTTAAGAGAATGATTCATTAGAAAAGGCTGCTAGGATCGCTTTGTTAGAAGTATACAGTTAAAACAAAATGCATTTCAAGGTGCATATTATGGAATTGCTGCAATCGCTTCGGAAAGTTACAAAACCTAGCAATGAAAAAAAAAATTCGGTTTGAATGAATAAACTGAGTTTCTTTATCCATTAAATATATATTTTGAAATACCAAACGTAGCACAAGGATTAATTCATAGTTTAAGAACTCTACGTCAAGGCAAAAGCTAGTAGAAAATATAATTTTTTCCGGACACCTGACAACAGAAGCCACTGAGTCACACTACTAGTAAATTTTTTATTCGTTTTTACATCCATCATCGACAATTAATTAATTCTCTTTTTATAAGTTTGTAGAGATATCTACAGTTACTGAATGAGGTTTAGTGATAATCAGATTTCTGTTTTTATTGTCTTCATCTCTTTTTTTTTCTATTTTAATCATCTAATGTTTCTTGAAAGTACTTCCTCCAAGGCAGAAAGATTAAGGTCGACTCTAGAATGGATGCGCCATACATTAAGCAAAGAAATGAGGACATCTTGATCGACAGATCAATTTGAACTACACGAAGCCTCCGCAATTAGTGATAAGAAATCGGAAAAAATGAAAAATACTCACGTTGTAGAACAAACAAATCTCAGTATAGACTTATCATATAATTGAACTAGTCGCTTTTTAGTTCAGCACATGAGCCCGGTTATATATATGCATAAAATGACTTCAAGATGGAAGATTTTCTAAGTGAAAACCTGCATACTTTAAAAATGATTATATATTGCTTCTTCCGGTGAGAAAAATTTGGGACGCTAATGAAAACAACTAAACAATCCAGCCCATTTCTCTGTAGTTCATCTGTAAATCTGAAAAATGGAAGGTCCTATATACCAGTGATGATGTGCGAGATTACCCTTTTATATTCGAAATTAACTATTCTTATTTTTCAATCTGCGAAGTTAGAAAGGTAATCCCTTGATTCTAAATATTCTCAGGCAGACTCTGAAAAGAATCAAAATTATCATTGAATAATTATTGTAAATTAAAATTTAGTATAGATCAGCAGGTACAAATGCAAGCTATTCAGGTGAAATATTCGTTAATTTGCATTTTCATTAAGTAGTTGTACTCTCCATTTCTAAGCTGGGGATTGTCATTTCCTGTTCATATCATTACTCGCTGAATAACGCTAAGACACTTACGATGGATTGTTACAAAATTCACAAAGTGCTATATTAATTATTTAAATGAATGATAAATCATTTTTTGAAAAACTTTAAAAATGTAAGCATTTTATTTGATAACAGGGAAAAAACGGAAGAACACTGTAATTAAAATTGTGTATATTTCAAAATGGTTAAACGAAACACTTCCACTAGTTGTGCTTACATACGCATCTGCCTGTGCAAATGTAGATAGTGGGCGCAAAGTCTTTAATAAATTACAATAAAGCTACTACTTTTAACTTTTGTTCAGTGCTATCTTTCCTTAGCAATAATTTTTAAAAAAATTCGTAGATATGGACTCAGCTTGGATTCAGAGAACTCCGTTGGGTTAAGTAAAGCAGAAGATGAATGCGTTCTTGCAATATGCTGAAGAAAATTACGGTCTTTGCACTGCCGGCAAATGTGAACAATGGTTTATTTCATTAATTCCTTACCTACCTAGTGCTTTACTTAGTAGACTGTTCTAACCATTTCATAACACTAAACTTCATACAGTGAGCAAAGAAAATGCTGTAAACAAGCTATTTTTGTTATTTTGCTCTGAAAGTGATTTATCTTCCTAAACTTACTTTATCTTGCTCTTTTTCCACGAAGCGTAAGGTGTCATTATGTCTAACCAAACACGAATGCACTCATTGGAGAAAATACAGTATTGCTGCACTTGTTGAGAGCAACTGCTTACCACTCCTTTTGCGGGTACCTATATACTTCGCTCATTTTACCAATTTGGAAAATATTACCTGTCTTTGCAGCAACAAAATAGAAGGCTAAGCATTTCAACGTTAAAAGCAGGATTGAAAAGAATGTCGGTTCCGCTCCTGTAGATAATATCTTGTATTTCACAAACGCTGAATGAAATGAATATATTATAATTAGTAATAAGCTAATAAGCTTTATTTTGGGGGGGGGAGTATAACTTTCAAATTAATTTATCCTTCGAACACTTTGATTTTTGGTTCATTTCCCTCTTTTACATCAGTTTACGATTTGAGCTGTGGAACATTTAGAAGTGAATTTATTGACAACACCTGTTCCTATAATTATATATATATATCAAGTTCGGAATTTGAGTATAAGCATTCCAATAAGTAATTAGTAAACATAAAATAGGATTGGTGTCAATTAACGAGAAAAAATGGCTATATGCATTTCCTCAGGGCAAATTCCTTACTGACTGATTCATCAATGACCGTGCAGTGAAAAGCAGGAACATTGGTTCTGGACTCTGTTTTCGACAATTGAATATATTTACTGTATGTGTAATGTAGTTACTAAACAGGTTTACTTAAAAAAATCTGAATAAAGGGAATGAATCTTAGGGAGATAGTCCTGGCATGCTTTTTCACGGTTATTTAAATATTACTGTCATTTCCTGTAGCTAGAAAGACATAGCTGGATGTCAATGCCTTGTTCAAAAGAAGACAGTTCCGATTTTACTTATAGAAATTATCTCGACTATTTATTTTACTAATTTATTCTTATTTTATATAGCCACTTTGTTAATTTCTTGTTGTTTGCTTGGCGTGTTACATTTATTTATAAATCCCATGTTTTATAATTCCAATCCTTCTCTTAAGGAAACATTGAATGAAATCCTTCAACACTGTTTGCTTCTAATTATCACAAGAGCAGTCGGTAACGAGAAAAGGGTTATTTTTTTTCAATAAGTATCACCGATAAGTTCTAGTATTACGCAGTTGTATTTTCTACACCTGAAGTAAATGTCTGTTAACAGGTGTGAAAGTCTGACCGCATTAACCTCAACATTCCTTTTGCGAAGTATCATCCAAAAATATTGGGAACCTTACTAAGTAGCTCGTTGCCATACTTCTGTTACAGTGTGATGAACTTCTTAACAAAGGAAAGGTTTTTGTCTTTAAACCTAATTAGTTAGCATGCAATACAACCAATCTATCTCTGTGAAATAGGTGCTGTACGTGAACGTCGATTTTTAAGCATGACTAATAACTCATTTTTAAAACTACGCAATCACAGTTTAAGAAAAGCATATTAGTGATCGTGATGTTTGATGATAAATGAATTCTCATTCGAGCAATAATTCTTCGATGAAAAGAGTCTCTGACGTTCCGCTGAGACTCATTAGAATTCCAGATGTGTAAGATGGAGTTTCAGAAGGACATAGTTCAAGTAATTAGCTCATATTTTCGATCCAACATATAAATTAGCTCATTCATAATTTCTAATGGAGTAATTTTTGTTAGATAATATTTTCTTTCGTATTCTACTGAATAAACATCTTCGTTAAACATGTATTGTAAACTATCAGAGCGGTTCTACCCATGAGTAGTACAGTTTCTAAGTCGAAAAACCATCATATTGTTAAAAAAATATTGATTAAATGGAATCCTATTCAAATTTAATGTAGTTTATTATCAGTTTCGTCTTCGGTATTTCGAGTAATTGTTTCAAACAAAAGTTAAGTCTTACCGTTAAAGTCATATCCTTTCATTATGAAACAAAATGACTTTTGCCTTATTGAGTGGCTAAATCTGAAAATGTATTAAAATGTTTAATTTTTTGTTAGAGACATTTTGATTTATAGCATCTTAAATTATCTAGCTAAATTTTTTGCTTGAATGATTCGCTAGTTTTATAAAAATAACGATCTCTGTCTGAAATTTTTTATCAAGGACAAAGCTATTTATGTAGATTGAAAGAACCCGAAATACAAATATTCATTATTCTTGCTTGTCCAAATATCTTTCAAAAATAGAGAAAATATATATTATATCGGCCGATTTCTAAATAGTAACGCTACAAGTACATTGGCAGTAGTAATTACTTAATAACTGGATTTACTATGTGGATACTATCTAAGCTAATAAATCTAGATTTCTTGCAAAATCATATCTGTAAGAAGTTTTTTTTTAATTTTGTACTCTTAATGATATTTTAAAGATAAATATGAAATCAAATATTTGAATCGACATAAACTGGCATAAACATTTTCTTAAAGTTTTAAATTTAAAACAGCAGAAAGAAAGGTCTGAATATATTTTCACTATGTTTCACATCTACGTGTAGTGTTGTCTCTGTTTTCCATTCAAACGCTTTATCCATTTTGAAACAAATGTATAACTGAAAATAAATATAATAAGGAATCGCATAAAAGCTTAGTTAATATTTATCTATGTAATTATATTTGCATTTTGTCAGAATACAAACAGTACATTTTGAGCTTTTCTTCTATGCTGGTATTTTCTAAACTTCACATATTCATAAAAATTGTTGCGTAAAATCAGTCGTTTATTAATTTCATTTTCTTCTGCTTGGTGTATAGGTGATGGAAGTGTGTCTTTTCCTGGCAGGAGGAAACTGGATGAGATATATCATTTGCCATGCGAAAGGTCAGAGTTCTATTCCATGAGTGACCTTCTAAAGCGTCCAATTCTTTTCACGCCAAATAACGATATGGATAAGGTACTAAGTTCTTACTTTTCTTTATACAAATTACAAATATGCAAATAAACTGATAAGCAGTTTATTTTTTATACTACAAGCTGCAGTCATTTGACATATGCGTGATCTAGTCTAAATGAAGACTTTTACTCGAAAGGGAAAAAGATTATTTTTCCCGTTCTCGATTCTCCAGGCACACTGCAGACTGAAATTAGTTTATCAAGTTCATTTTTAAACCGAAATATTTTAGTCTTCGTAGTACCGGAGGTAAGGAAAGCAAAGCTGATAATTAAGCTTTTAAATTTCTTATAAATAACGATTTTTAAATGTCAGAATTTCGCTCAAAAAATGCAGTATTTGTAGGTTTAAAAAAAACCATGACTTTTTCTAGCTATAAGCCTGGTTTTGTTAAGAAGACACAAATTTCTTAAACTGCTACCTAAAATCGTAATCTATAGATTGGCAAGAGATCGCATGGATTTTACCTTCAAATATTTTGACTATTTCATATTATTCCATTCAGTTAAAACTAGTGTAAGAGAAAAAGTGAATTAGTAGAAATAAATTTAGTAACTATAACTGTAAAATCTGAACAGTAATGATGAAAATAAAACAAAAAATATTTGTTTTTCAATTCTTAAATTTATATTAATTAATTCGTGAACTTTCCTAAATTACATAAAAAGTTATAATGAAGCTATTAGAAAAAAATGAAACGCTATAATATATATGATATTATATATAGAGAGAGAGAGCTTTCAATTATCAAAACTCGAAATTGACTTATATAATTATGACTTTATATATATATATATATATATATATATATATATATATATATATACTTTATAGTTCGTAATCCCTTCTATTCGCGGAAATATTTGGCTTGACTAGAATTGGCTTTACCTTATAACTCGAGTAAAGACGAAACACCTTCGTACTTACGTATTTTTATTAATTATTGTTCATTGAACGGGAGTTGGTTTGTTCCCCTTGAAAAGTCAACTAACTTCCGATCAATGACAATGATTACATGTTTTTAATTTTATTTTTCCTTTTACAATTTAAATTTAGTTCTTCATGATGATTTAATTCCAGTCCCCGTTAAAACATTATTAACATTTTACTTTCAAGTTACTTCAAAACATCTTTCAAAATATAACTTACCAGTATGGATTCACTCTTTTAAAATAATTCTACTTTAATTAAACTTAGGAGATAATATAATCAATTAATCAATATTGTTTAGGAAATAAATTATTATTAACTAACTTTGCAGCAATTGCGCAAGTAGTAGTAACTTGTTTTCGCACTAAATGAATTTAAGATCATACAACATTTTATATACTTTATATATATATACTATTATATATATATATATATATATATATATATATATATATACACTTTATATGATCTTTAAATTCACTTAGTTTGAAAAACAAGTTATTGTAATACTTGCGCAATAGCTGCAAAGTAAGATAATAATAATTTATTTACTAAAGAAATATTAATTATATTATCTCCTAATATTAATTTTAGTAGAAGTATCTAAAAAGAGTGAACCTAGAGGTAGGAAGTTTAATCCCGAAAATTGTTTTAAAGTAACTTGAATGTAAATTGTTAAAAAAAATGTTTTACGGGGACTTGAATTAAATCATGAATAATAAAATTTCAAACTTTGAAAAGGAAATTAAATTAAAAGCAAGTGATTATTGCTATTGATCGGAAATTAATTGACTTTTCAAGGGGAACAAGCCAACTCCCGTTCAGTGAACAATAATTAATAAATACGAAGGTGTTTCGTCTTTTACTCAAGTAATAAAGGTGATGCCAAACTGGCAAATTAAGTTAGGCCAAATAGTTCCGTGAAGTGAGGGTATTTAGAACCAAAGTAGAGATAAATCAATTTTGAGTTTGGACTCCAATCACAAATTTTTAGACTACACACACAGATATATATAGAGAGAGATATAGATATAGATAGATAGGTAGACAGATATGAAGTCAATATTGCTGCATCTCCGCCTTGAAGTGGATGTTTGCGTAATATATACACTGAAATAATGTGAGAGAAAGGATATGTCTTTAAAGAATTTCTTATTTTTTATTGATTTCAGTGGCCAATAATGCCCAGAGTTTTAAATTTAAATCTAAACAAGCTATTAATGAGAATAAAAATGCTAATTCACTAGCAGTCAGTTAAAAATTAACTCTTCAGAACTGCATTTTGGTTTAAAGGATACTTCAATTAGTAACTTTCCTTTATGCATTCCTGTTGTTATAATGTTTTTTTTTCACATGATAAAAAAATTTTTAATATAAGTTTCATAATCAAAAAATGCAAGCAAAACTTTATTCAAATTTTGTGTAGGTATTTAGAAGATTTTTGCAATATTAATAATAATAAATTTACACCTATGTAATATCTGGACGTCGTTCAAAAAGACTATACCATTTTCTGAATGTTACGAAGAAAGTAAAAGTATCTAGAAGTTAACATTAAATAATATTTAAATTTAACAGTAGTTTACGTAGAGTTCAAACATGAAAGTTTTTGGTATAAAAGTAACAAAACTTTTCAAAATTCTCTTTGAAACGGATTCCAAGCTACGGTGAAACTGAATAAGCAAAAGACGTTAAATATCAGTACTCCAAATTGGTTTTTATTATTGTGCATGAGAAAAGGCATTTAGAAGTAGTTCTCGTTCTTTAAGCTAGATTCGAAATATAACTACTGTTTTCCAAACACCCAAGCTTTCTATTAAATTTTCTGCATCATTCTTCTAGTGCTAAATCTTATCTTAACTGGAATTAGCAAGAATCCACACGATTCATTTTGTCGTTTAAGTTTATACAAATATATCAAAAGAAAGTTCGGTTTTTTAACAAATAAGCAATGAATAAAGATGACAATTTTTGACAATATTTAAACTGCTACATTTTGCTTATTATCTCTAAGCTTTCATCATATTTTAACATTGCAACTTAGACTAAATAAAATTTTAAAAAATTATGATGGTATTTTAATTAAACTTATTGCCTTAACAATAAAATGCGCACAGTATTTAATTTCTTATTAATTACTTTTAAAACTGTTTAAAAATGAAAGAGCAAATTAAAATAAATATGCATACTGATTTACAATTACAAGAATTATAAATGTTCATTTAAATGAACAAGTGAACATTTGGATGATATGTATTATAAAAGCTTTGAGTGGAAATATGTTTCCAAGTTTTTTTAGGGTTATTTTAGAAATTCATTATCATTGTGTCTCAAAATCATATGTTCTTAATTAATTAAAATTTGTAATAATTTTTCAAAATGAAATTTTATAAAAGAAAGAAAAACTTTTATCCAGTAAATTCGATTTAAATCCATAAATAACAAAAAAGGGATCGCTGAAATCTGTAACTTATCGAAAAGCGGCGAAAATACATCATGAAAAAAAATCATACTACATTTACTTACTAATATCACAGATAGAAAACAAATATTATAAACTTTGAGAAATACTATTCCTAATTTTTCGTGTTTCTAAATTTTTTCTGTAACATAAATTTTTTGAGTAAAAATGTTTTATCTGTGCATTCTTTCAAGATCCTGTTCTGCAAAATTATTTTCCAGTTAAAACTTTTTATTTGAAGGTTTTTCAGGTGTTTTTTTAAAAGGAATTTCTGATTGTGGTATTCGTATTTGGATCTCTTAACTTAAACTACTCTAGTTTAAAATGAAATCACTCATCAAAACTATTTTTTTTTAATACGCAGAATTTTTTTTTAAGTGTATATTTTTTTTCATTTGAAAGTTGAGTCCAGGTTCTCCAGATTCACGTAAAATTCGATTATTGGCTAGGCTTATAAGATTCGGTCCAACGATCCCAGACTTTATGAGGACCCCTAAAATCATTCTACAATCCTTTAATTTTAATAATAATACCATATTTCCAGGATTCGAATAATAAGAACATAGGGCCATAGTAATAATAATCTATATATCCATTTATTCGAAGAAGAAGAGATAGAGCCAGGGAGCGAAGAAGAATAAGAGCCAAGATGCGAATATAAGGAGAGACCCATTATTCTAATAATAAGACCATATTTCCAGGGAGGCGAAAATAAGACCATATCCAGGGATCGAGAAAAATAGAGATTCCCTATAATAATACTAATAATACCATATTTCCATTTATTCTAATAATAATACCATATTTCCATTTATTCTAATAATAATACCATATTTCCATTTATTCTAATAATAATACTATATATCCATTTATTCTAATAATAATACCATATTTTCATTTATTCTAATAATAATACGATGTTTCCATCACCGAAACAAGGAAAATTAATTGGCACTGAGAGCCGTAAAAGAATGCTGTGCCCAAAGCCCGGCACTCGGAGTGAGCATCGTAAGCCTAAGACAATAATCGAATTTAACTTGAATGTGGAGAACTGGGCTCGTTTTCCAAATAAAAATAATATACGCTGAGAGAAACACCTGCTGCATATTAACAGAAAATAATTTCGATGACTGATTTGATTTTAAACCCGAGACGTTTACAAATTTGTTCTAAGCGAATAAAATACGAATATGCCGGTCACCATGAATAGAAACTCCTTCGAACAAAAATACCTAAAACGTTCAAATCAAAGTTTTAAGTGGAAAAAAATCTGTAGAATAACATCTAGAAACAATGCACAGGTTAAAAATATTGCTCGTGATTAGATCGCTTGGAATAAATTTGTAAACGTCTCTGGTTTAAAATCGAATCAATCATCGAAGTTATTTTCTGTTAATATGTAGCAAGTGTTTCTCTCAATGTATCGATTACTCCCTAGGCTTACGAGGTTTGGTTCAACGGTCCCAGAGTTTAATTTTTCACCTTCGGTTTTGATTTTCATATCGCACCATAGAGAATTATTCTTAGGAGTTTTTAAATTTATACCTATAACATGATTTAACGGAGATGCCTGTAATTTACTGTCTGACTTATTTACCATTATTGCACTATTTGAGAGTAACAAGAGTATGCAATTGAAATTTTTCTTTGTGAAAAGCATGATAAATTACTTTCTAGACTGTCTGAAACGCAAAATATGTAACACAAGGTCATACGATATCTTCCTGGAAATTACACTATAATCAAACCGGATACATTCGTGGTTATTCTGTAGTACAATTTTATAACCTTCACCCTATGTTCGCTACTTCCATCAATCAGAAAATCACTTAGCTGTACCTAATCTTCACCAATATGGAAGCCACCAAGGATTTTATTATTTATCAGGTTTTCAGGTTGTTTTGGAAGTTTTCTTCGCTGTAATACAACTGCTTCCAGTTAGATTTACAGATGGAATATTTACTTTATTTAAATGCAATCCATCATGAAAACGCATCCATCACTGGAGACCGATTCGCAAAAGATTTCACCGGAGTAATACAATGCCATTTAAGTTAAAAATGAGGCATATGCCCCTGAAGAATACAAATGTATGCCACACTTTAACATTACATTTTAGAAATATGCATATTGCATGTAGGTTACTAACTAGCCTAGATCAATAGGGCAGATAACCGGAAAAGTTGTGTAGAAGCTTTGAAAACGTATGATTTATTTCAATGTTAGAATAAGTATTAATTCATTGGTTTTGCAACACTTAATTTGCATTCCTATTTTGGAAAAACGAGCCTCCTATTCGCTACTCATATGAAAATAGTATTACAGAAGTAACACAATGAGATCTAGATCTAAATTCACCTTGTTTTCTCACTATTTCATTAATATAAATACTAAACATTTTAAATGATATTTTATATAACTAAAATTAAAATTAATGCAACCATGTCGATCCTTTTATACTCTAACTGCCAAAAATTTCGAATTATCAAATGCTCTGAAGTTTTAAAATGTCACATAAAATTATTAACCGGAAATTTTACCTTTGTTTAATTCTCCTAAACTGGACGTAGTTAATTAAAACGTATGTGAAAGGTAAAAAAGAATTTTTTTTTAATTCCTGGTCATAGATGCTATTTTTATTTTTATTCTATTCTGAGGAATATACACATTAACATTTAATTAAAAGTATGTTCTTTTTCTCCCCCCCCCCTCCAAAAAAAAGTGTGATGGTAAAGTGAATTATTCAGGGCTAATGTTCTTTAAATTGCAGGCTATGAAAAATTTAAAGAGTTAAATAAATATTAATTTTAGGGAGAGCATTAATGTTCCCTCCATATAACTAATCTTGGCTAATTAGCTTCTAATTTAAAACACCTCTAAAAAGAAATAATTCCTTCGTTATACCTCTCCAGGTAATAACTTATCAGCTTGGCTTTCTTAATTTAGGACTGATTATTTCACTGCCTATGGTCACATAGTAGCTCATAATAACATTTGTCTTTACACATAGCGGTTTCAAATTTTAAACTAAACATCCTGTGACATCATTTAAATATTTGGTTTTTGTAGTTCCTTTCATAAAATAAAATGCTTTATCAGTTTCTCAAAGAGGTTCTCAAACTTATTCGAAATTACAAAAGCTATACATTTTGCAGTAATCAAAATATTTCGCGTCAGTATTGAATTAGGAATCGGGAGGGGAGAAAGTTGATTACGTTCGATTACGTGAGAATATTAAAACGAGTGTATTTTTATTTTTATAAACATTTTCAGGATTAAACAGGATTTAGAGTGCAATATGGTACTCGAATCTACGTTTATGCTCCGTTAACCAATACATTCGTAAAAGTAGGAAAGGTATCCAGAAATAAGGATATAAACTTATCCTTTATAGTCATAGTTTTAAGTTAATAAAAAAGTAACACATTCGACATAATCGATTATAGTTAACTTTTTCCTAGAATTCAGGAGTAGAACAGTCAGAAGTTAAGTAAAAATATTCTAAATTTTATCAAGAACTTTGTTCTGAGTATACTCCCCATCCCTCACTCGCTCCTCAAATATTTGTCGTGAGTGGCCGAACCCTTCGATGATTTAACCATCTCATCACTATCCAGGGTGCACCACAGGGTTATTGCACTTTCGAGAAGGGTAAAGGTCAAGCTTTAAGAGGGATTCGAATCCACAATCTTGAATTCGGAGCAGCATCAGCTTCTGTTAACCACTAGACCATTCAGGGCTTAGGCAAATAGACCTCGCCTGCTTCAGATGAACCAAACCAATCATTCAGCATGACTCTTTTGCGTGTGTAACCGACGGCAATATGATACAATTTCAGAGGCAAATAAATAATACAAACAGAGGGATTTTGATACAATTAATTTTAAATGCTTTAATTTTAAAAACATTTATATTTTTTAAAAAATAACATTCTTTATCCGTATTATAGTGTGCACAAAAGGGATCTGCTAATTTATGTGAATTCAAGAATTAGTATTGAAAAAACTCAAACAAGTAGTTGTATCTATGTAATTGGAATTAATTGTATAATGACTAAATTTTAGAAAATATTTTCGGAGAGCACGATTATTATTATGAACATTATTCTCTTCTCTGTTTAAAAACCTTTTCTCACGATCATGTACTTCGTATTCTGAAAAGTACCACCATTCGGCTGGACATTAACACGTAGTTTCGGTTCACCTCATGCCTTGTGTCGTCTCAGTGCCTTCAGCTGCAACTCATGAATTAGACATTCTCGGTTAAGTTAAGTTAGGTTAACTAGATTTTGAATTCCTCAGCGCGTAGGATTTTCCTACGCGCTATGGCAATGCATGTTGAACAAGTCACGTCGCTTGCTCGCTAGTGACATCTAGCAGGCGTTTCTTGAACTACTCGGACTCATGATCTAAATTGGCTTCGCTGTAGCACAGCAAGGATTGAGGAGATGGGTTTATAATATTTAAGTTACAAGTATTGGTGATGGAAATCAGAGCATTAAAAATCAGTAGACTCAATGCGTATCTTTTAAATATTGATATGTTTTTACAACATAGGCAAAGTAGTAATGTATTTGTAGCTCCGACGCGTCATCTTTCAATGAAGCGTTATAATAGTAATTTTTTGTAAAGAAGATATTTAGGCAAGTTAAGAAAATTTAAATATGAACAGATTATACTGTAGAGTTTATTAAAATTATTATTTTCAGTGATGACCGTAGAATGAAATGCAGAGCAACGATTACGTTATGTACTCGTATATCGCTTACTCAGACGTTTGAACATGTACATGTAAACTGCAAAATGGATTAAAATTTCCTAGTTCAAGTAATTGTATCATTGGTTATCATAACGCTATTGCTTAAATTTATGCATAAAGTAGACGACTTCGATATTTTCATACTTAGAATACAATGGATGTTTCCTGTGTACTTATTAATTTTAAAGTTAAAAACTAAGAATTATTTTTATAAACGAAGCATTTTATATTTTTCTTCTGTTCACGACTATTTATTCCTTGTAACTTTTAGCTCACGTGCATGGATTTAACTTTCTACACTCATAATTCTATTACCGAGGATCACAGTGGATCAGGGTAAGTATACATATAATTTAATATTCAAACTAAGTCTTTATTTGAAAATAAATTCTCAATTTATCCAATAAAAATAAAGTTTAGTTATAAATGCTGCTGAAAGCTGTGTAATTTTTATAATTTGTAATACGTTTATTGTATGTTATGTGTTTTGCATAAAGAGTTTCTCTTTTAAACTTAAAACCGATTGCTAAAATCACGTAATTCTGTTATGTAAAGAAAACAAATGAAAAGAATTATTTCTTACGAATTCCTCATTATCCAATTCGACAGTTAACTGCTTCAAGCTATTCAGAGCCGGTACTATGCCTTCTACTGCCTGGTGCAATCTCTATATTTCCCAAATTCTACTACAAACATGTGTTGCCCTTAAATTCTGTGGCCTGCAGTAGCTCTGAGACCGTCCTTACAATTCCTAAACGTTTAATGCTAGACTGAATATTTTAAAATGGTTACAAGACATTAGATGCTTATAAGATTTTATGAGTAAGTTTGTGGATTTCCGGCTCGTTTTTGCTCACTTCAGGAAAGTGTTCTTCAAGGATGAAAGAAAATTTGAGCCCTTTCTCTTTTACCAATTATAGCCTTTTAACCTAACGCAACCATCACTTCGATATTTATCAAAATTCTGCTTTCGTACTTAGTTAACTTCCGCTTATTCATAACGTATCTCCAAGGTTACGTCTTCAAAAATTGTTGATTAAAAGGGAGACCTTCTGCTATCCAGAAATACCAATGCTAACAATATGAAAGCAGTTGTTTACAGCCAAACTTTTGATTAATTAATGTTTTATTTCGAGTTATTAAAAACAGGAATGGTAATTTATTATGTTACTTTAAAATATTTTAATTGAATATTTAAATATGCAATGGAAAGTCAAACAAATTAATTATACAGAATTTGTATGCTCAGTATGTTCTTACACTAAGTCCAAACCCAAAAATGAGTTATTTTATTTCGTTCATTTTTTTTTTTTTAATTTTCATTTTTTATTTATTTTACATTTTTATTTTAATTATTCGTTTAATTTTTTCCTGTATTTATTTATTTATTTAATACTTTTCAAATTTCTGTTTTTAATTAATTTTTATTTTATTATTTACTAGAAGAAATAGTACTTTATCACTTTTTTGTACGAAACGTTTTCATTATATTTGAGTTATGAAGAATAAAAAAAGGCACTGAAGGGAATATTATTGAACGGAAAGGAGTGCCAGACAGTTCTTTATTGCACAGTACATACTTATGTATACTGATTATCTCCTGAATTCTGCCTACCGTGTAGATAAAACCGCCGAACAATACACATTATTGCAGGTGTTATTGCGTAACGGTGGAATGGACTGACTGCATAGGGCCTTCACGGTCTTCTCCTCAGAAATTAATGTCAGTTCTCTTACAAAGCCTTCCATGAATAAATATATCCGTCGCCCTAGTTAAATCACCTACGAATGCATTGCCGTAATTAAATTGTATAGCAAAGCAAAATTCTGAACTTACTATCAATTCACACAAAACCTTTTTTCAGGCCCACGATCACCCTCTCTCCCCCAGATATTATTTTTGTTACTTTTTCTCCTTACATCCGGATTTTATTTTAAGAAATAAACTCTTTTCGTAAATTAGAGGCAACGTAATTTAGAGAGGGCACTTCCCCCCCCCTTGAAATGAAAACCTGTATATACATTTCATGTACTTCAAATTATTGTATTTTTAACTCCAGTGTATCTTTGGTTGATCAACTCCTTTTTTTTAAGTACCCTGTTGAAAATGTAATTATTTTAATCTTTCTAGTGTTTCATTCTTGTGATTATTAAGAAAATTAGAATAAAGTCCTATGTTTAATAAGTGAATGACAGTTTACTAAATTTTACCCTGGAACTTAAAAATTTTTATAAGATAATTCAAAAATCGGAAAACTAAAATTAATATGATTTTTTAATGAAAATCTGATGATTTGACTTTAGAATCGAAAGCCTCAATCTTTTTTATTTATACTTACTTATTTTTAATGTGCAGACTTGATCGACGTGACACGGATTCTAGAAGCAGCAGCACTTTTTCTCCACCTCCACCTCCCAAGCGCATCAAATTGTATCCTGCAGATAGAGGTAGGAAAAGTTTTACTACAAATTATCTTAAAATAGTTTTTATACTTATACTCAACTGTCATAATCTCTTCTATTATTCGATAAGTTTATTGTCAAATTTGATCATAAGGTCTTTACTGTTATACGTACTGTTTTTAGCTAGAAAATAAATTTCCTCACTGAAAACTATCGCAAACTGGAAGAGAAATCCACGAATATAAAATTCAATGGCAAAAAATAACAACTTTGGTATAGCGTAGACTTAATCTCGATCAAGTTTGAGAGCGTAGACTTAATCTCTATCGAGTTTGAGGGAATTAATCTCTATCGAGTTTGAGAGAGAGAGGTCTCTCAAATTCATGAGCAAAAATCATTTTCTGCTATTCACATAAAATTATAAATAAATAAGCGGTTCATTTTCATAATTATTAAGAATAGTTAAGAGCAGTAAATTAAATTAACCAGAAGTTAATTTTTTTCTTTTTTATAAAATTAAAAAGACGTTTTTAAGACCAATTATCTGCTATCTTGCTTAGCAGATGATTCCACTCTCCGGGCAGAGGCTATCAGAGCCAATTTTTAATATAGACTACGTACTGTAGTACGTAGACTACGTACTGTAGTATTGAAATAACTGGAAAAAAACATTTAATGCAAGATGTTTATATGCTAAGCTTAATCATGTGCCTATATATATAATATGATAATAAATCGTTATAAATTGCCTAATACTCGCGCAAAAGCTGCAAAGTAATAAAATAATAATTTATTTGTTAATGGATTATTGAGTACATTATCTTCTTTGAGAAAATTAGTAGAATTTTAGTTGAATGAAGTAACTTATAAGCATTGCAAAATGAAACTAAAACTTAATCTTGAAATTATAATTCGAGACTCATTTCGAAATGTCATGACGATTGTCATCTTTTACATTCCAGTTCTCTTATATGCCCGCCAAGAATCCGAAGACACTTTCCAGCCTTTACACGTCAATCCTCCAACGCTTGCTGGACTAGCGAGAGGGGTAAGTTGTCTTTTTCTGTTATGTTCTGTTCTGTCTTTACACGTCCGTCCTCCATCGCTTGTTGGACTAGCGAAAGGGGTACGTTGTCTTTTTTCTGTTCTGTCTTTACACGTTCATCCTTCTTCGCTTGCTGGACTAGAGAAAGGGGTACGTTGTCTTTTTTCTGTTATGCGGTAGACGACTTCTACAATACTAGATTTGTATAAAGTAAAATATTTCAAAGTCCGTTCTTCTAATTATATATCTTATAATTGAAAGAACTGAAAATTTTCTACCTAAAATCTTCATTATATTTCTCATACGTTTAATGATGAATGTACGTTTCAGTGTAGAGGAAATATTCTATTAACAGTGTTTAACACTAAAATTTTATTGTCGGTTTCAAATTCAACTGAAATGAATAGTTACAACCAGATTACTTAGTCCGATACCGCTTTCAAAGGTATCGGACTTCTCTCTTATATAGCGTCATGGAATTGACTTTGGCTGGCATTTAAATTTATCTTGGAAAAGAAGAAACAATTTTGCGTTTGGAATAATATATGTCTGGGATTGATATTTAAGGAAATAATACCCATAACAATTTTTAAGCGTAATTGATTACACAGGAGACTTAGTGTAATTGATTACCCCGAGGTTGTTATTCGTATGCATGATGTCACTGCAGCTTTAAAGGAAGGTCATACGAAATTTTATAAGACGTATAGAGTGATTTGAAACTGCATCCAGCAGTTGCCATATATTTCTATTAAGTGGAGATTTTTTATAACTATCTAAAGTGAAATATGCATATTGTTGGCAAAAACTTTAAGCTATGCGATTTGACCGAACTTCGAGTCTTATTTTCTAAACTGCCTTCAGTATATCAAAAGCTATTGTAATCACCACACAGGCAAGATGATGACGAAACCACTAAGTAAGTTTTGTTTTCAAATTTAATGGGCGTTTTCAGTAAATAAACTGCAGATTAAAGCAAAAATTCTATAAAAAATTTTATTTCAGTGGGTTTCTTTTCTGCACAATTACAAAAGCATTTTTGAAAGTGTTCTAATCACTCACAAATTATTACTAATGGAATTTATATATATGCATCAGTAAATTTCCCGAATGATATTTTACTCAAGGAAATATATGAGCTTTTAGACAATTGACCAAAAATGAAAGTCTTATCTCTTTCATCTGATTACATCTAGACTACCGTAGCAACCAAGCTTATGATTGCTATTTTACTTGTATTGTGTAGCAAAGTGTCATTACTCGGAACAGACGGAACAAAATATCAGTAAACACCATGCTGAAAAAAGCTACTGGAAACAACAAGGATTTTATCAGTGCTTCTTTTGTTTTCTATTGTTGTTGCTCTGCTCATTCACGCGCAGTTATTTCTCATATTAAGCGGCCTCTGCCCTCCGCCATTGAAACCCATAAAACAGTATTCAAATACGTTTCAAAGACTAGCAAGCGATAATGTATTCTGTTATATACACTCCCCCCTCCAAGCAGCTAATTTTAATATGGTATTTAAGTAAATAAGGAAGATGCTTTCGGGCTTCATTTGAGTACCAATAGCAATTATTATTTTCTTCGCTTTGCTTCTATCAAATTTCGTAAAAATATTTATATTATAGAGTACATGTGGCTCCTGAATCAACTGACCATTTCGAGTTTCGGAATTCTTTTCTTTGCAGACTTCGAATGTATAATTCTCGGTCTTCTCAAACTTCTTATTTTTTATTTTCATCTTCGTATGTATCCTCATTTACAGCAACTTTCGGTTCTTTTTTTATTATTTTATTTATTTATTTTTTAATTTTATCTTTCATATATTAATTTTAAATATATATAATATTTTATATTATAATTTTCTTTATTCACTTGCTTTTCATTCGTGAAAATTTGCAATGATTGCTTCTTCATTAACTGAAATGTTTGAAATTTGTACTGAAATTCGTTTTAAAAGAAATTGCCTCTTCTGCTCGCATGCCTCCTTTTCTTCTCGGGCCCACCAGCGGCCGAGCGGTAAAGTCGCTGAACACCGGTAGTTCGGTCTGAGGTTCGAATCCCGCGAACGGGCTGGCTGCATGGGCGTTTTCGTGGTTTTCCCCATGTGTAACGTGTATACGATCCAGTTTCCCTTAGAAAGCCCTCCACGAAGGCATCCCTTCCCTTAGGCAGATAGCCCTAGTGTGCTTTGCCATAATTAAATACACCACACCACACCTTTTCTTCTCGAGCACTCGTCGATCATTTTTGTTTCTACATATTTCAACGTTAGTTTTTCTTCTGTTAGTGCTTCTAAAGCTGTAATAGTGTTGCCATATGTGTCTCCTTTATTTGTTCGCCAGTTCCTCGCTGTTGATATTCAGCGTTTTGTTGATGTGTTCGAGCTTATATTCGTTTTCTGCTTTTAACGTATGCAGCTGTATAAACGTCTATTATGATGTTACCTATCATAACAGACGTTCATAATAGAGCTCTGGATGATAACAGAGCTCTGGGTGGTCATTTGACAAGGTATTTTAGAGCAAATTGGCTCAGATTGACGTACGCGTAAAGAATACTGCGAAAATATCCATACATCCAGCTTATTCTTTCCTGAATCTAACATCGAATGGGATTGCCTATGTTCAGTGGAATGGCCTTAATAGTTCAGCCATTCTTAGGCACTGTAGAATTCCTCACTTTGGGATTCTAAGTCAATGTTGGAAGTGAAGAATCTAAGAACTGATAATCGAATAATCGCTTGAGTTCGGTGACAAGAAACAACAAGATAGAAAGGTAACTAACCCTTTATTATTCCAATAAGATTTAACAAAACTCCGCCTGGGAGTGTACAAGCAAAGCCCGAACTTGGACTTGAACTTAAAAGACTAAGAATTAAACTAAAACTAAGATTAACTAAAGAAGTAATATGCGAAGCTATCAAGGTTCAAATCGAGTTGGCCCCTTAACTTATTTGACTACGAAGCTTAGCAAGGGCCTGAGTACGGCCGAGCGTAATAACAGCTTTGAGAGAGAGAGTGACCAAAAAGGCAGACGGGCGTAAATCAGAAACTCTGATTCTTTCTGACTCAGTAAGTAACTTCGTGGTTTAAATACCGCTCCTCCTCATTAAATATTCAGCAAGATTCCAAAACTACGTTCTGGCCGGAAGCAGTAAGTTGAAGTTAAGAATTTGACAGGAAAGGAACTTTAACTTAAAATTTAACTGTTAATAAAATTAACATAATCCTTACAGCACAATGAGTAAAAGCAGATTGTTTCACTCTTAGATACGCTTAGCGCAAAAGGAGTAAACAGTACTGAAAGCAGCGAAAATGTGTAAATGAATCTTAAAACTGGGAAATTATGGTAAAAATCTAATGCGGAGGATTTGTGCTTATAAGGAGTCTTAAATTTTCTTTAAAAACTTCCAGCTGAAAATTTCGTGGTTCGGGCCAATCGATATATATTTCAGCAGTCTTGCTTAGCTGAATTAGTTACTTTAAGGAATCTTCATGCGTGAATTGAAGTAGAAGATTAGGTACTTGAGAAGGAAAAAGCAACTTCTGCGATTTTGGGGAAAAGAGAAGAACCTGAAAATTTGGGGAATAGAAGTTTACTTCTGGAAAATGGTCAGTTTTAAACCTCTTGTAGCTTTCGAAGGTATATTTATCAAGCATTTTTTTAAATTTTATTTTTACAGAATTTGCATTCATCTAGGAGAAGGAAAATAAAGCAGTTGATCTTTTTTTCAATATTATCACGTTTTATTAAGCATTTTTTTCAATCGAGTGTTTCTTTTGGAGGGAAAGGAAACTATAATGAAAAATGTGAAAGAAAGAAATAAAACTACATTTTTTCTCTTAAACTTTCAGTATTAATTACTTTATGAACTAGCTTTAACATCCGTTTCTTATACAGATGCAATGGCAAATTTAACATGTTTGCCTTTTGTTTTAAGTCATTTCAGTTATTTAATTTCATAACTGTATATGCCTTCTAGTATTCTAACTGTGGGTTTTAATCTTTCTGCAGATCGAGAATAAATACAAGCTAAACGCCAACTGTGTCAGAAACATATACAAAAGATACAAAAAAGGGTAAGTACGCTAATTAATTAAGGAAATTACCTATTTCTCTTCTTATTTGATTTTGCATTTTGCAGTATCTTCCATTAAATGTGTTTCTATTCTACTGTAAAAAAATTTAAAAGACATAAAACTGGAAGGAAAATTTAAAATCTTTTCAATAGTAAAATTTCAACAGGACGTAAAAAATATACAGCGAAAAATGGAAAATATAATAGGACACTAAAGTACTGAATTTATTTGTTTCTTAAATTTAATTTTTTGTCGCTCTACAGGATTCTGTAATCAAGAAAATATATGCTATTTCCTCTCGTTCTCAAGCAGTATAGTGTATTCCAGAGTCGAAACTGACATGTTTTAACATCTGAAATAAATCTCAAAATTGCTCCATTGAATTGAATAAATCAAAAATTATAAATGATGCATAGGTATTAAATTATTACTCTTGGAATAATGAATAATACAAGAAAATAAGCATTAAATATTCAAATATTTGTTCATATCAACAAAAATTTTCAGTGTTTCTTCCTCAGGTCCCATGACATATATTTACACGATATTGGTGTTCAGTCAACACCTGCACTAACATTTCCCTACGAGTAAATATAATGCCTTGGTTGTAGAGATATTAGGTAATTTTTTGAAGCAGAAGAGATGACAAATTAGCAACCGCCTTCGCCGGGAATCGAACCACGGACCTTTGGAAGATCGGCCTAGCGTGCAGAACCACTACACCACGAAGGCACGCTAGGTAGGTGGGAGAAATGCATTATATGGTAATGCGATTTTTGAACTCAACGAAAGCCTCCAGCAGTGGAATCATGCAGAGAGAGTTTTTAACATACCTCCAAAGAAATAAATCACAAATTGTAAGGAACTGAACAGTAAGTTAGGAATCCAGGAACTGAACAGTAAGTTAGGTTTAGCAATACCTCAGACACCTATGGTACTACAGAGGTGCTGGCCTAGCTTTAACCTGTACCTGTACAAATCACGTATTGAAATATTGCAAGATTTCGATGAATTAAGCTTTAGATCTTTCATTTCTCCTTTTCGGAAAATAGATTCCACAGCTGATGAATAAAGGATTGTTAAAATTTAGCATAAAATTGTGTGACATTCGCAAGGAGTACTTTGGGAGCATTTGCACGAGGCAACTCATATTCAGCGTGTCTTGCTTTCTATTCAGAATATTTTTTTTCCTATTTTATAGATCATTTTTACTATAAATGATTGTACTGAATTATTTAATTTGCTCAAAACACACCTGCCTACGCTATCTGCTTATACTTAATCCCAGTTTTACTAAGAAACCCTCGGGGGTGGAATCCGATCATCACGTGTACTTTCCTTGGTTACAGCCGAAAACATCGCGGCAAAACCATCGCACACGAAAACGTCGCAGAGAAAACAACGCAAGGCGAAAACGTCGTGCTACAAAACATCGTAGGAGAAAACATCGCAAAGAGAAAACATCGCAGTTCTAAAACATCGTGGTACAAAACATCGTCGTCGAAAATAAAGCGATTCAAAAACTTCTCAGTTTAAAAACATCGTCGTCGAAAATATCTTGGTAAAAAATAAAGTATCTACAAATCATCGCATGACGATAACATCGCAGACATGCTTTTTTTTTTCAGGCTTTAATAACTGTAAATGGAAATATGGTTCCCATAAGATTTGTGAGCGCAAGATGTAAAGAAGAATAATTTTTACTTTCACATTTTTTTTATTAATCAATACATTTTTGCTGAAAAAGTAAGAAGGAAACTTAAGCATAGAAAATTAATGCAACTTATAGCACTTAATAGGATTTTAAACCGACATAGTTAACTAACAAAGACCATTAATAAGTCATAAAGTGTTTACTGGTAATTTTTCATAAAAAGTATAATCTATAAGTTGCATTTAATTTTCTATGCTTAAGTTTCCTTCTTATTTTCTCAGCAAAAATTTATTAGTTAATATAAAATATGAAAAACAAATTATCCTTCTTCTATCTTGCGCTCACAAATTATTATGGGAATATCTGTTTACAGTTATTAAAGTCTGAAAAAAGCATATCTGCGATGTTATCGTCACGCGATGATTTGTAGATACTTTATTTTTTACCACGATATTTTCGACGACGATGTTTTTAAACTGCGAAGTTTTTGAATCGCTTTATTTTCGACGACGATGTTTTGTACCACGATGTTTTCTCTTTGCGATGTTTTCTCCCACGATGTTTTGTAGCACGACGTTTTCGCCTTGCGTTGTTTTCTCTGCGACGTTTACGTCCGCGATGTTTTTGCCGCGATGTTATCGGCTGACACCCTTTCCTTACCTCCAGTCTCTCAAGAGGATTTTCTGCTATGTAGATTTTAACTGCCCCCAATGGCGCAAAGGAACTATGGTCACCAAAGTCTATGCCATACCCGAGATTCGAACTTGTATCCATTGGTAGGGGTGATCGAATTTGAGACTGCGATATCAGTATATCGTCCAGAATGGCTATTTTGTATGAACTATGAAAGAGAATTTTACACGTAGTTGCGATAAATATTCATACGTGAAAATAACATATTTAACACTGAGCTGTACATTTGTACCTCGAAACTAGGAAAAAATAGTTCAAACTTTACAAAGCTAATTTATCTGTCACCTTCAAAAAGATCGTAGGTGAAGAATAGATATGTTACAAATTTCTCTTCTGAAACTACAGAGTTAATTTTCTCTGTCAACAACTTTTCTTTTTCTGAAATACATATGTATGCACAGGGAGCACCAAAAGTCACTAAATGTTTTAAAACTCATAAAACACTATCGAATTGTTGTATCATGATGTGGTTTTTCAACAATATGTCTGACATGAACTCAGATTTTTTTTTTTTTTTTTTTTTTTTTTTTTTTTTTTTTTTTGGAGACAAGCCAAAAAAAAAAGTATTTTAAAAATTTGCTCTATATACATGACACAAGAAAATGACCTCAGACTTAAACTTAGTTGCCCTTACACAAGTTACGCTCCAAATGTAGATTTTATCTAAAATAGACGACATAGCGATTATACAACCCGACACAGACTTAACAGTACCCGTACAGCCCCTGCCGAGGCCTGAACGCACCGTGAAAGCAACTTATCTCCCCCATTCTGCCCGCTCCCATTACACGGACGTTACAAATGACCAGCTCAGGCGAAGTGCTGAATAGACAGGAGTGCGCTGTTTAGCCTAACTTTGGATGATATTCTATGAAAACAAAGCTTTCTTAAATGCTGTACGACTACTTAATTACACCGCCTTGTACTGTACTAAGTGTTCAGTGTGTTCTCCAGAGTAGCTGCACATTAAGCCTGTAATCATACGATTATACGACGTACTGAGCATCTCTGGATTTATGAAAGCGACTTCGTGCCGGGTAGCATCTGTAATTGTGTTAGGGATGATGAGCAGCTGAAGCACACTTGGCACTTCAAATAGCTCCACGAAAAAATAATCACGGGCATTAAGTTTGGCGATCCATGAGGCTAAGCAGTAAGAAATAACGGAATGTACAATCGGTCAGGACAAGATACTCTTTTGAGGGTCCGCAACATCCTTGAGATCATTGGACTTATACGTCAGTGTCACGTACGACGCCATCCTGCTTACGTCACTGCTGGTGATGTAAAATCGGTACGCATTTCAAATACATACTTTAATATCCATGTACATTATTTGGTTTCGCACTAAAGATTTTAACGTATTGCGTATATGCCTGTCTTTCTCATCTTGTAATTCGTGAATTACGTGTTAACTGCTATATATATATATATTCATAGAATATCTTTTGCTTATCGAAACCGCATCATGCTCTTATTCCTCCCGTGTTTAAATATTCAGTACTAAACAAAATACACTCTGTCACAAAAAGTCTATGCACCTAGAAGAAAACGAACTACAATCACGAAACTTAACTTGAATATAGTGTAGGAAGAGATAAGCAAATGATTATAAATTCAGAACAAAAGATGGTTTTTATTAAGAAGTTATGGCATGTAAAATGTTACAAATCAGTAAGTAGTTTAGCCACCTCTATCAGCTATACAAGCCGAAACACGGCGTGCCGTCTAATCAAGAAGAAGGTCACATATGACCTCCTGTGGTAGATCATGCCATAATCTTTGCAACTGGGTGGTTAACTCACCAATATTCTGAGACGACTGCAGTTGCCTTCCAAGCATGTCCCAAACGTGCTCTGTTGGTTAGAGTTCTGGTGACCTGGCAGGCCACGGGAGTATTTCATATCCTTGAAAACACTGTTGGGAGAGTCGTGCAGTATGTGGACGAGCGTTGTGTGGCTGATAAATGGCATATGAGTGACTTTATAACATAGGCAGTAAAACCGGCGTTAAAATATCGTCCACGAAACTGCGAGTCGTCATAGTGCGTTGAAGGGCGACTAGAAGTGATCGTGCATCCCAAAATATCGCTCCCTACACTGTGACACCTTGTATAATAGCCGTATGCCGCTCGACAACAAATGCCAGATCGGACCGCTGGCCTAGCCGCCTCCACACACGTGTTTGTTAGTCATCAGCATTGAGACTGAATCGGGACTAATCGCTGAAGGTCGCACGCCTCCAGTCGGTCCCACTCCAGCTTGCCTGAGTTCGGCAAAAATCTAGTCGTCTTCGAATGGTTTCCTTTGATACCACTGGGTGATTGGAAGGTGGTAAATGGCGTCGAGTCGATGGTAGCAGCGTTGTTGGTGTGGAAATGGCCACTCTCATGATTGCGTAATCCTCGCTCTCATTTGTGTTTTTGGGAAGTCCTAACCCTCCGCGACGGCAGATTATCCCTTCCGTGATCCATTGTCGCAAACACCGAGCAACTACCATATCGCTCTGACCGAGATGGTGTCCGATACGCCTGTTTGACCAACCTGCTTCTCTGAGGTCTAATATGCGCCCCCTTATCAAAACCCGATAAGTGTTCGTACCGCCACCTTTTATGTCTTAGAGGCATCTCTAGTCACACTACCTTCCATCCAAG